GACAGTCTCACTCTGTCACCAAGCACCAGGCTGGAGTGCAGTGGCGTGACCTCTGCTCACTGCAACCTCTGCCTCCTGGGTTCAAGCAATTCTTCTGCCTCAGTCTCCCGAGTAGCTGGGACTAAAGGTGCATGCCACCATGCCCAGCTAATTTTTTTGTATTTTTAGTAGAGACGGGGTTTCACCGTGTTGACCAGGAGGGTCTAGATCTCTTGACCTCGTGATCCACCCGCCTCGGCCTCCCAAAGTGCTGGGATTACAGGCGTGAGCCACCGCGCCCGGCAAGGAGAATTATATTTATTGGGTTCCACTCCTACTATCATGGCCAGGGTGAATACAGGCCCAACCAGGGTGGGCTTTCTCTCTTTTTATTTTTTTGAGATGGAGACTTGCTCTGTTGCCCAGGCTGGAGTGCAGTGGCGCAATCTTGGCTAACTGCAACCTCTGCCTCCCAGGTTCAAGCAATCCTCCTGACTCAGCCTTTCAAGTAGCTGGGATTACAGGTGCTTGCCATCATGCTCGGCTAATTTTTTGTATTTTTAGTAGAGCCGGGGTTTCACTGTGTTAGCCAGGATGGTCTCCATCTCATGACCTCATGATCCGCCCACCTCGGCCTCCCAAAGTGCTGCGATTTTAGGCGTGAGCCACCACACTCGGCCCACAGGGTGGACTTTCTAAGCTTTGGCTAGTGAGGCCACAGGCTCATCTCTTTACTGTGTACCTCAAGCCAGGCTGGGCCCCTTTCAGATTCAAACTAGATATTCAAACTAGAGGCTGCCAGTTCCCTGCCTTCTCCCTCCAGAGAGCCTATTAAACACATCACCTGACCACCTCACCTGGAAGCCTAGACAGACATCTCTCTCCCCTGCCCACCCCTTTCCCCCTCCCCATGCCATCTGCTCCCAAATGAGCTCTAACCTGTGGGCAGAAGAGGACACAGGCAATCCCCACAGGGACACACCTGCCCAAGTATTCCTGCCTAGAAGCCACTGGTAGGGCGGAGCTTATAGGGATTAGGGGAGGCAGTGAGGCTGAGGTACTATGAAGACAATCACTTGATCCAGAGTTCTGTTTTCGTTTTTTTTGAGACAGGGTTTTGCTCTGTTGCCAGGCTGGAGTAGAATGGCTGGATCTTGGCTCATTGCAACTGCCGCCTCCTGAGTTCAAGCGATTCTCCTGCCTCAGCCTCCCGAGTAGCTGGGACTACAGGGGCCTGCCACCACGCCCAGCTAATTTTTATATTTTTAATGGAGACGGGGTTCACCACGTTGGCCAGGCTGGTCTTGAACTCCTGACCTCGTGATCCACCTGCCTCAGCCTCCCCAAAGTGCTGGGATTACCGGCATGAGCCACCACGCCCAGCCTGATCCAGAGTTTTCTAAACTTCCCAAATCACCTGGGGGAACCTATTAAGTATGTAGAGTTCGAGAGTTGGACTGATCCTGATCCAAGTGAGCCACACTAACCTAATTAATCTCTCTGCCTTCTCCACATCACTGTCTAATGAAATAGAAGAGTGTCCTCTTCTCTGGGCTGACAGTTAATGGGTGCTTTCACAGGTCCAAAGGAGGCAGTTCTGGGTTTTTTTTTTTTTGGAGATGGAATCTTGCTCTGTCAACCAGGCTGGAGTGCAGTGGTGCGACCTTGGCTCACCACAACCTCCGCCTCTGAGATTCAAGCAACTCTCCTGTCTCAGCCTCCCTAACAGCTGGGATCACAGGGGCCTGCAACCACAACCCAGCTAATTTTTGTATCATTTAGTAGAGACGGGGTTTCACCATGTTGGCCAGGCTGCTCTCGAACTTCTGACTTCAGGTGATCCACCCACGTCGGCCTCCCAAAGTGCTGGGATTACAGGCATGAGCTGCCACCAACCCAGTTCTGGGTTTAAGCACAATCTTTCCTTTCCCTACCTGCTTCTTTTGGGAACTGTCTTAAAGGGCACATAAGAAAATTTCTCTTTAGGGAGACACTATACTCACCGGGAGCTGTGATGCCCAATACGCCCAGGTTCCCCAGCTGCTTCCAAAACTCCTGCCAACAGAATGGAGTGAAGTGGAATGAGTGTTGAGGGGAAGGCAGACAGTCACATGTGGCTGGAACAATGGGACCCAAACACTTCAGAGAGAGGGGCTGCATTCTTAGGGAGGCTTCATTTACCACAAAACAACTCAGCCCCACTCCCAGACTGCCCCCCTGCCCAGGCCTCCCAACTCACTCGCAGGTTCTTGAACTCATTGCTGCGATCAATCTCCTGGGCCTTGGGGGCCAGGTGCTCCTGAAGGAACTTAGCCATGGTCTGACGAAGCTAATAGGAGAGAGGTAAACAGATACCACTGTGGACAGCACCTCCACTACCAAGGGCGCATTCAGGAGAAAAGGCCACAGTAACTTCACCAAACAGCATAGGACTGAAACTGAGAGGCCTCAGTACTTTATGCCTCCTCAGAGATCATCTTCACCCCTCTTTCTTAAGGTCTTTGGCCTAGAGAGCTTGATGGTACTTTTTAAAACATCACTCCCCTACATAAAAATCAATCTGGCTGGGCACAGTGGCTCACACCTGTAATCCCAGCACTCTGGAAGGCCGAGGTGGATAGATCACCTGAGGTCGGGAGTTGGAGAACAGCCTGACCAACAAAGAGAAACCCCCTCTCTACTAAAAATACAAAATTAGCCAGGTGTGGTGGCTGTAATCCCAGCTACTTGGGAGGCAAAGGCAGAAGAATTGCTTGAACATGGGACGTGGAGGTTGTAGTGAACCGAGACAGCGCCACTGCACTATAGCCTGGGCAACGGGAATAAAACTCCATCACCGAAATAATAATAATAATAATATAATAATAATCAGGCCAGGCAAGGTGGCTCACGCCTGTAATCCGAGCACTTTGGGAGGCTGAGGTGGGTGGATCACAAGGTCAGGAGTTCAAGACCAGTGTGGATAATATAGTGAAATCCCATCTCTACTAAAAATGCAAAAATTAGCCAGGCATGGTGGTGCATGCCTGTAGTCCCAGCTACTCGGGAGGCTGAGGCAGGAGAATCGCTTGAACCTGGGAGGTGAAGGTTGCAGTGAGCCAAGATAGCACCACTGCACTCCAGCCTTAGAGACAGAGAAAGACCCTGTCTCAGAAAGAAAAAAAAAAATCATTAAACAAAAATCATTCTACTAGTTTGCACTGTACCAATGAAACAGAAGCTCCTCAACCAGGCCTGCAAGGCCCTGCAGGAGCTGACCCCAGCTGACCCTCCCAGCTTCCTCAGCACCTTCCCACCTCCCACCCGCTGTGCTCTAGCTGCACTCCAGGCAGCCTCCAGATCCACAGGTGTCAGGCTCTTTCAAGGCCCTGAACCTTTGACTAAAAGGGACTGAATACTCAGAGAGATTACAAACTCCTCTTGGCACGAAAGCTTGAGAATAGGGATTGAACCCTTTCTGCCTGAGGTGGTTCATGGAAGCTCTGAAACATAAACTGTGAAGTTGCTGAAAGACTCTTAGTTCCACCAACTAAATCCAGCCTCCAAGTGAAGCCTCAGGAAGGAATCTGGTTCCGCTAGATTTCTAACTTCTTTTCTACTTTTTATGAGATGGGGGTCTGGCTACATTTTTCAGGCTGATCTGAAATCCCTGAGCTCAAACAATCCTTCCTCCTCGGTCTTCCAAAGCGCTAGGATTACAGGCTTACAGGCGTGAGCCATGGCACCTGCCCTCAAACTACTTCTTTCAAGTACTTGTTGAACTTTGACCCAATGGCTTGAAGAGCGACAGGAGAGCTCACTGTGGCTTTTTTTTTTTTTTTTTTTTGAGACGGAGTTTCACTCATGTTACCCAGGCTGGAGTGCAATGGCGCAATCTCGGCTCACGGCAACCTCCGCCTCCTGGGTTCAGGCAATTCTCCTGCCTCAGCCTCCTGAGTAGCTGGGATTACAGGCACGCACCACCATGTGTGGCTTTTTAAATGAAACCCTCAAGGTGTTTATACAAAAAAAAAAGACTCCCTGGTGATTACGAGGATCACCCAGGTGTGAGACGCATACCTCAGTGCTCAGGGGTAAGTGGGCTACTATATACAGATTGAGGACCCTTGTGCCACAAGCGGTAGCCTGGCCAATCACCCGCCAAAACGCCATCATGCTCTCAGGAGCTCTCCCAGCCTCGACTCCTCTCTACTTCCAGCAGTCCTGCCTTGCGGTCGCAAATCTTCACTCCACAGAGGCTCCGGAGGCCCCGCGTCCTGCCCCCGAGCTAGCGCTCCCAATCGCCCACAGGCAAAAAAGCCACAGCTGGAAGGAGGCCTTGGGGCCAGGAAGGGGGTCAGTGTCCTCACCTGCTTCTGCTCCTCGCTTAGCCCGTTGATTGTATCGTCTACAGGCAAAAGCGAGTGGGCCCGCTGGGAAACGAAGCCGGCAAGCGGCGGCGACAGCTTCCAGCTCGCCACACGCCGCCCCAGCAGCCAAGTCGCAGACGCCATCTCAGCCCTGTACCAGGAACGAGAGATACAACTGAGCCGGCTCTTCCAGCTCCACCAATCCAGGCTTCGCCTCCCCGCTAACCGGCGAGGGGGTGGGTCTGTAGCAGCTAATCACCTTCCGCGGCCCGCAGCAGGCGGAGCTGCGCTTCTGCCTCACTGGAGCCAATCAGCCGTGGTCGCCCGCCCGCTTCCAGCCAGTGCAACAGACGCAGGCCGAGTGGGCCTGCCCGGAGCGCTGGAAATGCTGACGTGCTCCCTAGGGTGGGTCTTTCGGGTGGTAGACGAGCAATTGTTTTTTCCTTTTTATCTCCCTGCGTTGAAATAGCAGCCCCTAACTGCGGAAATCGCTCTGTGGGAAAGCGAAGTGTGGAAACAGCAATCAGAAAACTGCCCACGTGCCTAGTAAATTAGTCAAGCATCTCTGGAATAAACAATGGGAAAGTAGTGCTTGCTCTGATGTGTACACTGATTGTAACAGTCCAACTTGCTTTATTATATAACAAGGTTTGTAGATTTTGATTCATGTTTTATGAGAAAGGGGTTACTAAGGGGTAGCTGCCTTCCAGGTTGGAAATGCTCCTGGATTTACAGTAGGATCACTTCTCGATAAACCCATCATAAATTGAAAATATTGTTGGGTGCGGTGGTTCACACCTGTAATCCCGGCACTTTGGGAGGCCGAGGTGGGCGGATCACGAGGTCAGGAGTTCAAGACCAGCCTGGCCAATATGGTGAAACCCCGACTCTACTAAAAATACAAAAAATTATCGGGGCGTGGTGGCAGGCGCCTGTAATCCCCGCTGCTCTGGAGGCTCAGGCAGGAGAATCGCTTGAACCCTGGAGGCCAAGGTTGCAGTGAGCAGAGATTTTGCCACTGCACTCCAGCCTGGGTGACAGTGCCAGACTCTGTCTCAAAATAAATAAATAAAAAAGAAATATAGGTATAAACCTAAGAAAAAATAAAAAATACCAAACTTATGATTTTAACTCATTTTATGAGGCCAATATAACTCTGATACCAAAAACCTTACAAGAAACATTACAAAAGAAATTTGCTGGCCGGGTGAGATGGCTCACGCCTGTAATCCCAGCAGTTTGGGAGGCCGGATTGCAAGGTCAAGTGATAGAGACCATCCTGGCCAATATGGTGAAACTCCATCAGTACTAAAAATATAAAAATTTGCTGGGCGTGGTGACACACGCCTGTAGTCCCAGCGACTCGGGAGTCTGAAGTAGGAGAATCACTTGAACCTGGGAGGGAGAGTTTGCAGTGAGCTGAGATCATGCCACTCCACTCCAGGCTGGCAACAGAGCAAGACTCCATCTCAAAAAAAATTTTTTTAAGAAAGACACCCTTGAACAAGATTTCATGAGCTTCTGGGTTGAACACAGAGGGCATCGAAGCTCTGCACACCTTTCCCCATACGTTGCCCTATGTATTTCTTCCATCTGGCTGTTTATGTGTATCCTTTGTAATATCCTCTATAATATGCCAGTAAACTTAAGTGTTTCCCCAAGTTCTATGAGCCACCCTAGCAAATTAATCGAACCCAAGGAAGGGGTAGTGGGAATCTTGTTTTTCTGGCTTGTTAATCGGACATATAGGTGACAATCTACTTGTGATTGGCAACTGAAGTGGGGGGCAGTCTTGTGGGATGGAGCCCTAACCTGTAGGGTCTGACTCTAACTACAAGTAGATAGTGAAAGAACTGAAATTATATTTTTTGAGACGGAGTTTTGCTCTGTTTCCCAGGATGGAGTGCAATGACGCCATCTTGGCTTACTGTAGACTCTGCCTCCCAGGTACAAGTGATTCCCCCACGTCAGCCTCCCAAACAGCTGGGATTACAGGTGTGCACCACCACGCCTGGCTAATTTTTGTATTTTTAGTAGAGGTGGGGTTTTGCCATGTTGGCCAGGCTGGTCTGGAACCCCTGACCTCAGGTGATCTGCCCACCTCGTCCTCCCAAAGTGCTGGGATTACAGGCAAGAATTGAAATTAATATAGAACACCCAGTTCGTGTCTGCTGGAGAACAGTTTGGTGTGTGGGGAAAAAATTCCCCACATCTGGTCACAGAAGTATTCTGTGTTAAGTGTGTGAGATTAAAAAGTTTTTTTCTAGGCCGGGC